GATTTTTTTATTTTTGATTTTTTTGGAGTAGTGATTTTTATCACAGAGTGGTTTTATCTACTGTATTAATTAGAGTAATGCTAGCTGTGGTAACACATCTCAGAGTTTCAGTGGCCTGGTATTGTAGAGCCTTATCTCTTGTTTGTATAGCTGGCTGGAGTGGGTGTTCTTGGTTGGTGGGTGACTTTCTTCTACTAGGAAGAGAGTCATTCAGAGATCCAGGCTCTTTCCATCCTCTAACACCACTACTCCAGTGAGTGGAAGGCGGAGGAGTATGAAGAGGTCACACCCCCTTTTTACTGCCATTACCCCAACCCTACATTTCATTGGTGAAAACTAGGCATGTGACCCCACCTAGATGCCTGGGTACCCGGGAAAAGAAGTCCTAGAGGGGAATATAGTTGTTGGCAATAGTAGGGATTTTGTTATCATCACCCAAGGCAGGGCATGGATAAATGCCAGTGTGGATTGTCCTGCAAATTTCTGACGTGTGGGAGTTCTCTGAGTGGAGTGGGCTAGAAAGCTTTGTGGAAGAGGACGTATTTGAACTGGATTTTGAGGGGTGGTTAAGGCTTTTTTTCCTTATTTATAGATGTGCTTTATTTGGCTGAGTATTATTTACTTGTTTGAATTAGATGCCAACACTTGAAAGATAGGTGACCTTTCATCAACACACATATATTTAGCTTCTGAAATACTGAGGAGTGGCAACATGTGGCCTGTACTCCAGCATGACAGGCATCAGAGGTGAGAAGAGCTGCTGTCTGGAAAAGTCACTTCTTAATCCTCCTTGTCTAGTTTACTTGCCTGTACCCTAAGACACTTGAGTTTGAAACCACAGTTACAATCCCTTCTGATCTGAATAGTACATTCGTTTCCTCCCGCTGCTATAACATTATCACAAACTTAGTGGTTTACAATAACAGAAATCTGTTATCTTACAGTTCTGGAGCTCTGGAGTCTACAGTGGGTTAGTAGGGCTATATTTTTTCTGGAGATTCCAGGGGAGAATCTGTTTCCTTGCCTTTTCCTGTTTCTAGAGGCCACCTGCATTCCTTAGGTTGTAGCCCTTCCTCTGTCTTCAAAGAGATGACTAAGATTTTAGCTAGGTACAGAGAAAAAGGCTCATCTTTCCTTCTGCTTTGTTCATTTATTCCGCAGATATTTTTTAAAAATATTTATTTATTTATTCAGAAAGACAGAGAGAGAGAGAGAGAGAGAGAGAGAGAGAGAGGCACAGAGACACAGGCAGAGGGAGAGGCAGGCTCCATGCAGGGAGCCCGACGTGGGACTTGATCCCGGGTCTCCAGGATCACACCCCGGGCTGCAGGCGGCGCTAAACCGCTGCGCCACCGGGGCTGCCCTATTCTGATTGCCCTATTAGCCCAATCAGATATTTTAAAAATATTTATTTATTTATTCAGAAAGACAGAGAGAGAGAGAGAGAGAGAGAGAGAGAGAGAGAGAGGCACAGAGACACAAGCAGAGGGAGAGGCAGGTTCCATGCAGGGAGCCCGACGTGGGACTTGATCCCGGGTCTCCAGGATCACACCCCGGGCTGCAGGCGGCGCTAAACCGCTGCGCCACCGGGGCTGCCCTATTCTGATTGCCCTATTAGCCCAATCAGATATTGATTGAGGATGAATATATACTACCTATGCTGTGATAGGGGACAGGGGCAGTCACAAATAGACAAATACTCTGATCGCATGGAACTTATATTTTGGGGCAGGCTGATAATAATAATGTAAGAAAGAAGAAGAGCATAGAAAAAAGCATAGCTCATAGAAGAAGAGCTATACAGAGAGGTAAAGGCCAGGTGGCCACTTTGGGTGGTTCAGGCAAGCCCCTCTGTGAGGTGATGTCTGATCTGAAATGTAGTGACGAGAAGGAGCTAGCCATGCCACGATCAGAGAGGGACTTTGATAGGCACAAGAAAGAGCTTGTGCAAAGGCCCTGAAGCCGGAACGAGTTTGGGAAAGAGCAGAAAACCGGTGGTGTGGGTTGAATGTTTCAAGTGGTGGAGAGAGTGGAGGAGAGTCCTGAGAGGACAGCAGGGCCTGGTCAGGCAGTGCCTTGGGGACTGGGCTGGAGTTCGGATTTTACCCTAAGTTTGATGGGAAGCTCTTGGTAGGTTTTAAGCAGGATGCTAACATGGTGTATGTAGACATCTTGGAAAGCTTACTCTTGAGTGTGTGAGAAGAATGGATTGGTGGGTCCCTGGTCCAGGTGGAGATGATGGAGGCCTGAATTGGGTGCTGGTCTTAAGAGATGGAGAGAAATGGTATTTTTGGAGAAAAAGCCAATAGCTCTACTTCCTTGTTTCTCTTTCCTGGCATGCTAAGGTTTTGGGTTAATTATATCTCCCGGGAGAATGTTCTTGGATTTTGCCAGCCTCACAGCTGGGGGAAAGTAGGAGGCCCAGGTCCAGTGCTTGTCTGGCTTTTGCCTAGCTTGTTGGTATAGAGGTGACAGCTTCGGTCAGTGACGGCTTCCTGGCAGGTTGACTACTTAGGTCATGTCTAGACGTTCTTGCCCGGACCTCCTCTTGATCCCAAACCAAACATGTCCGCCTGCTGTTAATTCCACCTCCCTTTGGAGAAACCTGCCTCCTGCCTTTGCTGATAGGCCCTTCCTTTGAGAGGGCCTGTCCCGCTAGGGGTGGGGCATTCCTGGAGAGCTGCGTGCTTGAGTGGAAGAGTCTGCCTGTGCCCAGACGAGCAGTCCCTTCTCTGCCAGCCCTTTGCTGGCAGCCTCACTGTGTGTCACAGGTGGCTGAGCCTCTAGCAGGGTAGACTCCTTGGCCATCAGGATTGCCCCTTGCCTCTTCCCCATTGTGTACTGTGAGTTTTAGCATGGAGGTTATTTTTGTTTCCTTAGTTTTCCCAGCCTCTTGGACGCTTTTTCATCATTCAGGAAGAAACTAATACTATCTGTTCCACTGCACACTTGCAGCACTCAGCATTCTGGTGAGTTGTTTTAGACATTAACTTATTGCTCCTCATAACGATCTTGGGAGAGCGGGAGCTCTCCTCTACCCTCCATTTTTGCCTTCTTTTTCTTTAGTCTTGTACCCAATGATTACTGCGTTAATAACCAAATGAGAATTCTGCAGTTCATAGATGCTGGCGGCCATTCTTCCTGGTATTAGTGCTAAGATCAAGCATTCCTCTGTGTTTGAGGGATAAAACATGTGCCTGCTGTGGCTTTTCGCAGTCTGAAGGGACCTGTTTTAGAAATGAGGAACTGAGCCTGAGAGACGCAGTGAGCCTTGTTGTAGACCACGCAGCTGGGTCTGCTGGAGGGCAGGTGTGACCTTGAGCTCTGTCATCTGTCATGGCTCCCTCTGTCATGGCTTCCTCTGCCATGCCCTCATGCCCTTTGGGCATCTCCATGGAGAGTGGTCCTCTGGCCAGTTTGAGGCTGTGGCTGCAGCTGCCTCAGTGAAACGAGTGGGAGCGAGACATGGATGCTTTTTCACCCCTACTTTGTGTTGACCTAAAAAATGCCTTGGTCTGGCAGCCCCATTCTCTATCATCAGCATTCTTTTTTTTTTTTTTTTAAGATTTTATTTATTTATTAATGAGAGACACAGAGAGAAAGACACACACACACACACACACACACACACACACACACACACACAGAGAGAGAGGCAGAGACACAGGCAGAGGGAGAAGCAGGCTCCATGCAGGGAGCTTGACGTGGGACTTGATCCCGGGACTCCAGGATCACACTCTGGGCTGAAGGCGGCGCTAAACCGTTGAGCCACCTGGGCTGCCCTATCATCAACATTCTTTTTTTTTTTTTTTTTAAGATTTTATTTATTTATTTGAGACACACACAGAGAGAGAGAGAGGGAGAGAGAGAGAGAGGCAGAGACACAGGCAGAGGGAGAAGCAGGCCCCATGCAGGGAGCCTGATGTGGGACTCGATCCCAGGTCTCCAGGATCAGGCCCTGGGCTGTAGGCTGCACCAAACCGCTGAGCCACCTGGGCTGCCTCATATCATCAGCATTCTTAACCCTGCTCGGTCCTTTAGCTCAGAAGCCCCTGCCAACAGTAGAAGGAACAGCAGCTCTGGTTTCCAGTACACCAGATCCTGGCCCAGCTACTGACCTGTGAGTAGGCAAGTTGCTTAAAGATTCCTTCTTCACCCTTCAATTTTCTCATTTGCCAGTAGTCTTATCCCAGAGAGTTGTTGCGAGGACGAGAGATAACATGTCACATGGGTGCAGCGCAGCAGAGTGCTTCAGAGCCTGAGTTCAAAGCCTCAGGTTTTGGGGAAGTTACTTTACTGTGTTTAACTGTGTTGCCAGAAGTGTCCCACCATGACCAGGTACTGTCTGCACAGAAATGTGAACTTCCTGTGTTGTTCAGTCTCTAACCCCTTCCTTTTAGAGGCAAGGGGATGGGAAAAACATGCTTTGGGACATGACATTTTCTTTTGCTGAAGCCTCCTGGATCAGAGGAAGTGTTTCCATTTATTCTCTAATGGGAAGGGACAGGGTCTGTATGGGAATGATTGGTGATGCCACATTAGAGGAGAATACACCCAGAAGTTCGGAAACAAGCTCATGCCTAAAGAGATCTAAGAGAACTATTGGCACCTAAAACAGAAATTCAGCCTTTCTTTTCAGAATAGTAACAGATGCCTAAATGTCAGTGGCAAGGAAGAGAGAAGGCTATTGGTTTGTTTTTTGAGTAAGATCTCAGAAAAGAGCAGTTTATTATGTTTTGTCTTAATTTGCTTTGTTCTCCAGAAGAAGAAATAGAGGCTAGTGGGAATAGCTCTTTTAGCCCATATTTAATTAGGGTCTTCTGCAGCATGAGCAGAGTTTTCTTCATGTTCAGCTTGACTTTTCAGCTAGACTGTTTCTTGAAGGTGCCAAGGCTTTGCCAGCCGTGTCCGCTGTGTCCCCTTGCACACAGCCGGGCACATGGAGAACAGTCAGCATGTGGCCGGTCTAGGTCCACTTCAGCATCCTTTCTGTTTTCCAGAGTGAGTACATTGCTCCATGTGACTGTCGGCGGGCCTTCGTCTCTGGATTTGATGGCTCTGCGGGTGAGTTGCTAAATTCTCTCTCTGTTCTTTCTGTATTTTGTTTGCTTCCCCAAAATAACCAGGCCAACTTTCAGCCTGTGATAGAACCAAAAAGAAAATGCAAACCAGACACTCCCCCTTGAGCCTCTGCAGAAAGGTGTGAACTCCCAGCATCCCCCAACTCTCTGAGTTTACCTTTTAGTGGCCCTTTTCTTGATGCTTTTGCTATTAAAGTTTTCTTTTTCTTTTTTGCTATTAAAGTTTTAAAAAAATTTTCTTTAAAAATGCTTTGGACTTTTTATTGAATATAGCATACATACAGACAGTTGTATCAATTAAACCTAAAATATTTGTGTAACTAGCACTCTGAATAAGAAATGGGACACTAACAGCGTCCCGAACCCCCCCCTAAGCTTGCTGGTCCTATGTCATTCTCTAAGTGCTTGACTTCCAGATTCAGTAATTTCACTTTTAGTTTAAAAAACAAAGGGTAATGTTGAGCTACATTTGGTGCCCTGCCCTAACTTTTCCAAAACTGCCGTGCCCTTGAGTTTTAGGGTGATTCCCCCCCTTCAGACTCTCCTGTGTTACGCTAGCTAGACTTGGCAAAGAACTGCTTCCTTTGGTCTAAGTGCTTGTGTTGGTTGGCACCTCAGGGTTGCCTTTGGCTGGTACGTCTGCCAGAAGCCCTGAGTTCTGTCAGGTGGTAGGGACTGAGGGCAGGTAGGGATGGGAGGCATCCAGGAGTCGCTGTGAATATTGATAGTCCAGTTGATTTCTCTCAGGAAAGGTGAAGCAGTTCTCTTGGCGTAACTGGTGGAGCAGAGCACTGTGATCACTGTGCTGGAGTCCGTTTCCCCTCTGTCTTGTTGATCATGAGGTCTTTTTGACCATAGGTACATAGTCCTCTGTTCTGTTGGCCTTGACTCGTGCTGTGCAGATGGGGAGCTCCAGGGACCCATCAACCTGGGCTGCCTGAGGGTGGTCTCCTTCAAAGCTTGACCCACAGCTGGTTCTCAGTGGCATTGTCTTCTCTTGCCTAGAGTTTTTCCTGGAGTCAGAGGCCCATCTGCCCCACTGGCGTGAGTGGTGGTGGTAGGCTGGCCGCACAGGAGCTGGTACTTCTCATTGTGCTTCTCAGCCTGCTGCCACTGTGTGCAGCTTCTATGTGGTCGTCAGAAATTTTTCTCTTTCTTTTGCTCCCTTACTCCAGGCACGGCCATCATTACAGAAGAGCATGCGGCCATGTGGACTGATGGACGCTACTTTCTCCAGGCTGCCAAGCAGATGGACAGCAACTGGACACTCATGAAGATGGGTGTGTAGAGGTGTGGCCAGCCCAACTTTACTTGGCCAGCTTTGGGAAGGGACCCTAGAGTTCCTCAAGGTCTCTGGATCTTAACCCTTTTGTGAGGTCATGGGCCCTTTTGAGAATTCGGGGTGTGTTAGTCTGCTTGGGCTGCCATAATAAAATACCATAGACTAGGTGAGTTAAACAACAGAAATGTATTTTCTCAGTTCTGAAGGCTAGAAGTCTGAGATCAGGGTGCCAGCATGCTCAGGTTCTAGTGACAGCCCTCCTCCTGATTTACAGATGGCCACCTTCTCTCTTGAGTTCTTACCTGGCAGGGAGAACCTCTCTTCTTCTTTTTAGAATCCTATCGGATTAGAACTCCACCCTTAGGATTTCAACATAGGATTTTGGGGGGACACATTCCAGTTCATGGCATAAGAAAACACTCTTTCTCATATCTACGTGCACATGCACACACACAGGCAGACATCTGGGGGCTCTGGGGCTGGTACAAATGGATAGGCTAGTGGCCTTTAAACTTGTTTATTGCATGCCTCTGGCTCATGTACCTTCAACATATATGCATACTTGTTTATATGTTTATATATAAACATCTGCTTTTCAAATGTGAGCAAAGATTAATTTCCTTATTTTTTAGACAAAAATAAATACAAATAGACATCTTAATACTTCCTGCTAACACCCCAGGGGATCGTTCAGTGTGTCCCTGGGGTATGGGTATCTCTCTTTGGGGCCCACATCTCTAGTTGTCAGGTCTGCCTGTTCCATCTCGTAGGTATGTGGTGGCCTGGCGGACGAGTCCTCCTTCCTTCTAAGTCCCCCTGTAGTTGGCTGTGTCTTCCCCAAACCCCCCTTTCCTCAGGCGTCTCTCCTGTGTAGGGCAATTCTGGTGGGTTTGGTTGGGGAGTGATTCATCCCTGAGTTTTTGCCAGATATCTGTCTGCTAGGAAATAGCATGACTTCATCCTATAAAAGTCATACTAAGGGCATTAAAAGAAAACTTCGTTAGTAAGTGGCTTTTTAGCGGTTTGGAAAAAAATAGCCAAGAATCAAATAGCAAAATAACAGCTCAGTGCCAGCTTTTAGGCAGTTTTTTGGAATTGAGGTTCATGAGCTCATTTCTTTATAAACCTTTGAACTTCCCCTCTGTGGTTATGTGGTTATCAGCAGTCAGTAGGGAAAACAGTGAAGATAAGTACTGTTTTTAGAATATACGAACTTTCACTCTAAATATAGATCTATTTCACCAAGATGTTAACTTTTTAGTAAAAATCTGATCAGTTAAGAAGCATACATCCAAATGTAGAAGGTATTGGCTTAGATTAAAGAAAAACTGGAATATCAAAAATAACTTCACTTCCTTTCTTGAGGTTTATTTGGTGTCCCATGACTCGTCTCTTGGAAATGGGAAGGGCTGTTTGCTCTTAGGAATTGAGAAGCCAAGGAACCATCGTAAAGATGATGGTGATGAGACCTGTGTGGCCCTCTTGTAATCTTTGGAAAGATTTCTTTGCTGCTGAGACTTGTGTTCAGACCCCAGTCAGGCCTGGTTCAAGGGTGGGAGCCTCCTATCTGCCACCCTACCTTACAGTGAGGGGAGAGCACCATGTCCTGTGTTTCCTGGTTTGAGATGTGAGGGAGGGTTTCCAGTTCCTAGCCTTCACCAGTCACGACCCAAGTGTTCATCAAGTGACTAGTAGTGATAAAGTGACCAAAGGCTGAGAAGATGTTCTTTGCAATGACATATGTGCCAGTGTTGCAGTGATTCCCAGGATTCTGTTTTTACTAGGAGTTGAATGAAAATCTTGCCTTTTCCTTTTTTTTTTTTATCTTCTTACTCCTATGCTTTTTTTTTTTTTTTTTTTTTTTAAGATTTATTTCAGAAAGAGGGAGAGTGTGAGTGTGAGGGGCAGAGGGAGAGGGAGAAGGACTCTTAAGTGGACTCTGCTGAGCACAGAGCCTGACATCGGCTTGATTCCACAAACCTGAGATCATGACCTGAGCTGAAACCAGGAGTTGGACGCTTAACCAGCTGTACCACCCAGGCACCCCTTATGGCACCCAGGCCATCATATACTTTTTAAATACATCATCTTATCCTTCTTGCAATCTTCCAGGATTAAGCAAAGTTTGGGTTCTTTAAGTGCTGCCAACCTACCATATAGAAGGTGCTTCATAAAGACCCTAGGATCATGATGTTGGTGAAGTGCATCCTTTGGGTAGGACTATGAGCTTGGGTCCATTGGGAATTGTTTCTTACATGTTCTTCCCTTGGTAGGTCTGAAGGACACACCAACTCAGGAAGACTGGCTGGTGAGTGTACTTCCTGAAGGATCCAGGGTTGGTGTGGACCCACTGATCATTCCTACAGGTGAGTGAGCTGGGGTCCTTCCAGTGTGGGGGAGGAAGTGGATTCTAGATGCTTCTCCATTCCCTTTGTTTGCTTGTGGACTTGGATCATTTAGGGGCTCAGCATGACTTGATGTCATGATAAAGGTCAAGGTGAAGAGAAGAGTTTTGGCAGAGAGGCAGGGGAAGGCTGTTGCTGGTGAAAATAACCTTTTTACACTCATCCTGCATACCCAGTGCTAGGCCACGGGAGGACCGCTTTTCAGAAGGCACTGCTGCCTGCCTTAGCTGAAATGGCATTTGGTTCATGTATGGTTGGGCTACGTGTATTTCTCCCCAGATTACTGGAAGAAGATGGCCAAGGTTCTGAGAAGTGCAGGCCACCACCTCATTCCTGTCAAGGAGAACCTTGTGGACAAAATCTGGACAGACCGTCCTGAGCGCCCGTGCAAGCCCCTCCTCGCACTGGGCCTGGATTACACAGGTCAGAACCCTGCTGCGCCCAACAGGGCCCCCAGCCCTTGTTCCCTGCCCGTCACCATTGTCCCCATCCCAGTCCTCTGAATCAGAATCCAGCCAGGCTGGTGGGCGGTTTTGCTTCACCCTGGCACAGTGCGGTATTTGATGAAAGCAGGAGCTTTATTTGTTTCCACAGTGGCCACCTACTTGCCACTTATTTGCATAATTTATGCTTGCCACGCTCTTCTGGGCAGACCTTTGGCCTCTGCTAAGATGGCTTTTTTACCACTCTGTTGCTAACTGCCTCTAACAAGTCTGATAGTGGAAACAGGGCTGGGGGCTTTCTAGGTTCCATTTCCTCTTCTTCCACCCGCATTTGGAGGTTTACCTTCCTAGGCCCCCCACCCTGTATCTAGAACCTTCTGCTTTAGAGGCTTTGGGTTGTGGGTGGGTTTCTTTGGCCTGTATATTAGTGGTTGGTGAAGAGCAAGTAGTGAACTGTTGGTGGGAGCTGAAAGTGTGGATTTATAGAACAGTGAGGGATGCAGAGAGAGGCCAGGGAGGTGGGGCTGCAGGGGAGAGAGCTGTGCGGTAGAAACAGAAGAGGAGAGGTGGATGGGGGATGTCTGGAATGTAGGCAGATTGCCCAGAGGGGTCCTGGGAAGAAAGCATTACAGCCCAGGCTCTTGCCAAGTTTTAAACAGCATTCCCGAGCTGATCTTCAAAGCCGTGATGGTTGCGGGGGCAGCCCCCAGCTTGCTTTCCCTGTGACGCCCTCACCGGAGGGGATCACAGACTGAGGGGGATCGGTCCAGTGAGTGGCCTGGGGTCAGCTAAACATTTTCCACGAGCATGTTTTGAATTTTTTTTTTTTTAACTGACTCAGAGGCTCCGACCTATTACTTGTACGAGAGGGGAGAACAGATGTTGGGGGTAAGACTTTTGGTCAGCAAACGTGAGTGACTCCTACGTGCAGGACACTGTGCCAGGTGTTGGGTGAACCAGATGGTTCCCCAGTTCCCAGGGGCAGGCTTGTAACCTGAGCTGTCAGTGCTGTTTCATGCTGTTTCATGGTGATGGTGGTGATAGTGGTGGTGAAGGGGTGCGCCTCTCTAGGGCTGCAGTTTCATCTGGAGAACTGCAGGGAGCCAGCCCCTGGCTATGATGGGACAAGGGTGATTTGGAAGTTAATAGTCACAGAGTCAGATTGCAGGGAGTTCCTAGGTCTTAGCACCATGAGGCGAGTCTCTCAGCTCCAAGAATGTCAAGTGGTGGGTGATATTCCCCTGGGCCTCTAAGCCTGGATGAGTTTTCTCTGCTGGGCAGTATCTTCTCATAGCTCCCTGTGCTTCTGCCGCTATTCAGTCTTGACACAAGATAACTATTGCTGTATTGATTGTCTTTCCTTCTAAATTGTAAGCCCCATGAGGGCAGGGGCTGGGTATTGCTTAGAGCTGTGACTGCAGTGATGAGCACAATGTCTGGCAGGTATCTATGCCCATGAAGTCTAGATACTTCAGAGACATTTGTTGGATGAACAAATGCATTAATTTTGTGAGTGAGGCCGTCAGGGCTCTTGAAAGTCAACAGGCTTGGACAAGAAGCTTGAGTCCAGGCCTCCTGTTTCCTCAGGCAGCATGCTCTGTATAAATGGCCTGGGTAAGAATGTTTGGGATGGGTTCTTTCACTTGGCTCCCGTGTAGGGCCAGAGTCACAAGCACATTTGTTTCTTGCAGGCATCTCCTGGAAGGACAAGGTTGCAGACCTTCGGTTGAAAATGGCTGAGAGGAATGTCGTGTGGTTTGTGGTCACTGCCCTGGATGAGGTTGCGTGTAAGTGCTCTGGCTCTACTGTGTGGGCACATTACCTGGTCTCTCCCTTGGTTCTCTTGGAATCTGGGTGTTCACGCCAGTCTGCTTTCTGAGTGGCCAGGGAATAGACAAAAGACCACGTCAGCAAATGAGTACCCAATACACCAAGTAGGATGGAGAAAGAATGACAGAGAATGGGAGAAAGGGTCATAGCTTGGCTCAGAGTGGTATTATAGCCTGGGGCTGATGTGAAATCTGTGATATCCACCTCTGGCCAGTCTCTTCAGGACTATGACACCACCAAGGAAGGACATTTCTTCCCAACATTTTGTGTCTGTCAACATTCATATGTCTCTCCAGCTGTAGAAATGGCATCATAGGAGATTATTTTTTTTTCTCTACACTTTTCCTGGAAATACAGGTCTTCACAGTGGGGATGTTCTAGAAATATTTCTACATCAGAAAACTCAGGAACTGAAAATTCTTTACCAACTTTTTTTTTATTTTTAAGATTTTATTTATTTATTCATGAGAGACACAGAGAGAGGGAGAGAGAGAGGCAGAGACACAGGCAGAAGGAGAAGCAGGCTCCACATAGGGAGCCCGATGCGAGACTTGATCCTAGGACTCCAGGATCACACCCTGGGCTGAAGGTGACGCTAAACCGCTGAACCACCCGGGCTGCCCCAAACACATTCTTATTGTGGAAAATGTAGAGGAAATAAAAAGAAGAGAAAAATATCCACTATAATTTTGTTACCTAGAGATAATCACTATTAATATTTTGTGCATATATGTCTTATAGCTTGATTTTTCTAATGTCTCTGTATACTCTAAGCATATATAATCATAATTTAAGTAAATATAAATATCCCATCATATGGTTCTCCATAACTTACTTAACCATTCCCCTAAGGATGGCCTTTGGGTTATTTTTGATTTTCCCATGACTTTATTATGATGCTACCATCAAAATCTTAGTACATCAGAATCTCTGTATATTTCTGATTATTTTCTTATATTTGTGGTTGGCTTTTAGGGGTGGCATTACGGGTTAGAGGGTATGTACGTGGTAGGGCTTTGGACCCATCTTGCCAGTTACCTGCCAGAAATGTTTACGGTGGATATGAATATGCCTGTCCTGGCACACCCTTGCCAGTCCCAGATACTGTCATTTTTTAAAAAGTGCTAGTCCGATAGGTAAAAAACATTGCTTCATTGCTTTACTGTGAGAGGCCATTATTTTAAAATAGAGGCAGTTCTTTTCTCACCAGGGTCTTTTTAACATTATGTTCTTCGGGAGAGCAAGAATTAGGCAGCTGGAAGCTATGGGAGCATAGCTATGGTCTCTGCTGGCCCCTGTACTTCTTAAACATACAATGACTTCCCCAAACGCCCGTTGACACTGGCTCTAGGCAGGTCCTCCACTCTGGTTTGGTACCACAGTTTACCCTTGGGTGGGCTTGGATTTGGGTTTCATTCATGGGCCTAAGTCCTGCTGACTCAATGCTTTTGTTCCTGTGCTGGGAAGTTCCGCCTCTGAGGAGCTCCTCGACTCTTAGCCAGAGGGCCTTCTTTGAGCTCCCTCATCGTGGGTGGGTCTCAGTTTTTCTACCCTATGTCTTCAGAAGGGAGAGAGTGCTTGGCCCTTTTCCCTTTACTTGGGAGTGCCAAAGGTTTTCCCTGTGGCAAGGCCAGGCTTGGCCGGTCACCACCAGGCAGACCATTTCAACTCTTTTGTTTGGAGGGTAATTTGCCTGTTTTTTGACTAACTTCCATTGCATTCCGTTCCCGGGGCAGTGCTGTGGGAGCATAAGGAACAGATCTGGTGCCATCGTTTGGTGGACATGAGCAACTGCAGCTCAGAGGTAAAACCAGGAAACGAGGTTTCCTGCTTTTCTGAGAGAGGAGTGTCACTGAATCCTTCTGTAGAAGCCTTCCATGGATGCCAAAGTACTTAAAAATTCCTGTTAAAATCTCAAGTCAGGCAGGTGACAGAGTCTTTTTTTTTTTTTTTTTTTTTAAGGGCTGTTCAATCTCCGAGGATCGGACGTGGAGCACAATCCCGTGTTTTTCTCCTATGCAGTCATAGGATTGGAGACGATCATGTGAGTGTTTGCCCCACACGGGAAAGTCGTTCCTTCCACACAGCTCCTCAGATGCTCTGTCTCCCTTCCTGGTCAACCCCATCGCTGCCTGAGGTCCTGCTGATGCGTTGCTTTTCCCTTTTCCTGCCTCTCTCCCCCTTTCCCTTCTGATCTTCCTACACAGTAGGTGTTTTTTACATCTCGCCTCTTTCTTAATCTTCCAGATGACTTGAAATCCATGAAAGTATCTCTAATACTAGGAGATGAAAAAAAAAATAGGCAGGGACATCAGAACAAAACTGGAATGAGGTTAGTTCACAAGATTCCTGCTGCAAAGTCTTGGTCAGGCCATACACTGGATTCTAGGTTTTGTAGCAGCCAGCGCAAAGGGATGGATAGGCTCAGTGCTACAATCCTGGGTACACAATTCAGATAAACTCAGGCGTTCAAAGGTCAGAAATGACACAGGAAGATGGTTATGCCTTGTTGAATTGTCTATTTATCTGCCAAGGAATTGCTTGTGACCTTCTTGTGGTTGTGCTTCTATCCGGATGGCTCTCTTTATTCACATAACATTTATGAGTTTCTAGAGTCTCTGTTGGCTGCTAGGTTACATCAGACAGATAGGGTCTGGGGCTAGAGTTGGGGAGATGAGTGTCTCTTCAGGGGGTTCAGGCATGTAAGTGGGCACTGACTTGTCAGTGGGATGGATATGGGGCCTGGCCTAAACTTGGGGGTCACAGGAGACTGACAAGTAATACTGAAGCAGAGATCAAGGGCACATGTGAGCTGGTTAGGTGAATGGGGGCCATGAGGAATGGTGATCTAAGCAAAGGAGAACAGCATTGTCAGTGGCTCTGGGCAGGGGAGAGCACGATGGCTGTGACCTGGAGTGGCTTAGTGTGGTTGGAACATGGGAGTGTGAGGCCGGAAGACGAGCAGGGGCCATGGAAAGGAAGGCCTGTAAGCCAAGTCCAGGAGCTCCGACCTTTGTTCTGAGGACACTGGGGAGCTGTTGAATGGATTTTTCACAAGAAACCACATGATTGGGTTTGCAAATCATAGAGAATACTATGGCAGTGAACATGGGATGGCTAGGGGCAAGATTGGATCCAGGGAGACCAGCTAGGAGGCTGTGGCACAAATCCAGCAGGGGGATGGTGGCAGCGTGAACCTGGCCTGTGACTGGGCAGGGCTGGAGTCAAAGGTGGACAGATTGGATGGGATTTAGACTATAGGTCTAGAGATCTTAGTGGAGGGAAGGAAGGACATCGGGGACAGTGCCCAGGTCCTGGCTGGAGGAACGAGGTGGACGGATATAACATACACAGGGATAGAGACAACTTGGTGAACAGGATGTGGGAAAGGAACACGGAGAAGGAGAAGCTGCTTGGTTTTGATTGCTAAAAGATGGAGCCTGTTGTATTTGTGGGCCCACGTTCCTCCCTCTCGCTCACATGCCCTCTTTTCTCTGCCACCTCACTTCTCGCTTCTCTGCAGGCTCTTCATTGATGGTGACCGCATAGATGACCCCAGTGTGAAGGAGCACCTGCTTTTTGACTTGGGCCTGGAAGCCGAATACAGAATCCAGGTGCTTCCCTACAAGTCCATCCTGAGCGAGCTCAAGGCTCTGTGTGCCAATCTCTCCCCAAGGGAGAAAGTGTGGGTCAGCGACAAGGCCAGCTATGCCGTGAGCGAGGCCATCCCCAAGGTTGGTAACCCTGCTGAGGCCCGTTCAAAGCCTGCACCTACCAGCTGCCAGCCCCTTCCCAGTTCTGGCATCCTGCAGCTTTGTCTTTGAAACAGAGGTTGTTCTGGACGTCTCTGGGACTGGCTGTCAGGTCAGGGATGACAGGTCATTGTCCCTAAAGGAGCCCTTTGGGCTGGAGCCATCTTGAGGGTCTGAGGGCCCTTAGAACTCATTGAGTCTTCTGTGTTTTCCAAAATGTAGCATGAGAGAGGATCTTAGGTGGTAAATATGAATGCTTAGGTTTATTTAAGTGTTACCTGTTTTATTTTTGTATTTTATGTTTTTAAAGATTTTATTTATTCATGAGAGACAGAGAGAGAGAGAGAGAGAGGGGTAGAGACACAGGCAGAGGGAGAAGCAGGCTCCATGCAGGGAGCTTGACGTGGGACTTGATCCTGGGTCTCCAGGATCATGCCCTGGGCTGAAGGTGGCACTAAACTGCTGAGCCACCCGGGCTGCCCATGTTATCTGTTTTAAAAGCAATTTAGTGTACACTAGAAAAAAATATTTCTAGCATATGAGACCATGATGTTATAAAAATTATTTCTTAAGACAGAGTTTAACAAAGTTGATTTAAAGATGCTCTAAAGAAGTATTAAGTAAATAAAGGTCTAGAGGGTAGGCAGCCAGGGTGGGAGCTTAGTAGGTGGTATGAGAACACCTGAAACACAACATATGCCCCTTCGCTACCACATTTACCAGCTAAGGAGGCTGGGGACCCAGAGTGGCATGGGAAGTTAGAGACTGGTTGAAGGTCAAATGATAGTGATAGCCTTGCCCTTTACTGAGTCCCTGCTGGGTAGTGCTAAGCAGTGGACACCTGTCTGCTCATTTTCACTAGGGCTCAAGGCAGGACTGTAATCCAGGCCACCTTGGATGTATGTAGCCTTTTCAACTGTTCTTCCCTGGGCCTCTGGCTGCAAGTGGCCTTTGGCAAGCCCAGGGGTATCCCCTCTCTGCCCATCCTGGGAAAAGCCTAGGCCTGGCCCGCTAGACCTACCTTGTGAGTGTACCCTACCACCCTCATAGTACGTGTGAGTCAGTCTTGACCTGAGTTTGGGGGTCATGCCTGCTTTCTTTGTTTCAGGAGGTCTACATGTGAGGGTGAGGGAATGAGATTGGAGAGAATGAATGCCTTTCAACAAGCTCTGTACAAGAGCACAGATGTGGTCCTGAATCCCTCTCCCATAACACAGGGCTGGGTTCCAACTCATTCTTAAATTGGATAGGGTCTTCCCATACCATGAAGAGCAGGTGATGTGTGATCCTGGAACAAGATAGAGGAAGGAGTGGTCATGTGGTCCTCAGACAATGGGAAAAAGCCTCCTTTGTGCAGCAAGAAAGGGGTTATTTCGGTCAAGCTTTGATCGTTAGTGAAGTCTGACCATGACCATGACCATGACCATGACCATGACCATGGAGGCTTGAAAAGCAGTATCTTCCTGATGGCTGGCAGCCAGCAGTGTCTAAGAGCTGAGGATGGGGGCAATAGAAGATAAATACTCTGTTTGATGGACTTCATCTTTTTGGAAGAGCTCAAGCCCCTTTCGTCATGCTCAGAGTCCTCAACTGAAAGGGGTGGGTCTTCAATCCCCAGGCACAGCGAGGTGGGTCCTGAGTGGGAGCTCTTCACATGATTTGTCTTACGTGTGATGTGCTGGGTGAAGCCGTGCCTGCCTTAGCCTGGGGTGCGTGGAGCCGGGTTTGATTTCCCATACCGCTCCTTGTGCCCCTAGGATCATCGATGCTGTATGCCTTACACCCCCATCTGCATTGCCAAAGCTGTGAAGAATTCTGCTGAATCAGACGGCATGAGACGAGCTCACGTGAGTAAAGCAGCTTGTGCAGAAGAGGGGGTGTCAGAAGGCCCATCCCAGTCCCTCACCTGCCGCGTGGCTTTGAGCCTGGCACAAGGTCAGAAATTCTCTGACCCTTCCAGTGTTAAGGAGAGAATGAAATCAAACACTCAGTGGGCTAGATCTTTACAGAGTCTAACATACACCACAAAAAAAGGCATTGATGATGATGTCTCTTAAAAGGCCCAGCATATGTTTTAAGGCCAGCGGTGGGTCTAGAAGGATGCGAGGCCCACAGATGGCTTTTGCCAGTGGCTTGACCGCTGAGGGATTTGCCCCTGTTCTCTGGGAGGGCCTTTCCTGGTTGTGCCTGAGCTCCTGAGCAGCAGAGGAGCCCTTTCCCTGCTGGTGGGAATTGCTGCCCAATTGTTTACAGGGAGTGCCTGCATGAAAAGTCCTGATGGCTGGAGGGCGTGCCCTGTGGGTCCAGCCTTCTCAGTATCCTGCTAGGGCTGGGCTCTGAATTTGCCCAGCTGATTTGCAGTAATAACTTTAAAAAAAATGTCTCCATTGTTTGCACAGATTAAAGATGCTGTTGCCCTCTGTGAACTCTTTAACTGGCTGGAGAAAGAGGTTGGTTCTTAGTCTTTGTTTACCATGTGGCTGTAGATTATTCAGAAGCTGTAAACGTGTGACTCTAACCGTGGCCCTCTCTGTGCTCTGGTGACCCGGAGGTCTAAGGTCTTGATCTAATTTTAGTACTCTTTCTTGGTAGTTCTTTCAGGAAATTTGGTGTGTATTTAGAATTTTTTTTTAATTGTTGAAACTAGTAACATTGATGAGAAAGAATTTCCTTAACTGAGAGGAATCCTTTTTTGGGTCAAGGCATTGTCTTATAAGTGGAATTTCATTATAAGGAAAAATGACTCACAATAATATTATAGGCAAGCTGATTGTATTAAGAGAAAAAAGATCTTTGCGTACATTTTAGACTTCAATTTGAGATATAAAACTCTGGATAGTATATTGACTCTTCGGCCATGAATTTCTTGCCTTTTCATTCCTTATGGTTGACAGCAGGGGGATTGCTTTGTGCTGTTATTAAACAATCTCATGTTCCCTTTAAGTGTTATATAAACAACTCTTTAAAAGTAGCTTAAATTGGAAAAAGAGTATCACCCTTACTCCCACCTGTGTAACTATTTTATTCCCTCTGGCTGTTGTTGTTCTGTGTAAATCAATTTTACATGTCTCTCAGTGTATAGATATGATTTTGTATTTTATTTTATTCACTTAGTACCATAGTGTGAGCATTTTCCATGTGCTTTGAGGCCTTTAAAAAGGATCCAAATTGTAGAAGCATTGTGTGGTGACAGATGGTAGCTACACTTGTAGTGAGCATAACGTAACGCAGAGATGTTGAATCACTGTTGTATACCTGAAACTAACATAGCATTGTGTGTCAACTACACTCAAAACCACAAAAAAACAAAAAACAATAGCAACAGAAAAATGGATCCAAATAGAGAGGTTGTGTTTAGTGGTTAGACCAATTTGCCATTCCTCCTATTTTCAAGTATTTAGAGCATTTTTTTTTGTGCTATTATCAGCTTGTAATACTATCTTTGTGTTTATCTTTTTATTTAGGATGACTTTTTTAGGACGATATCCTAGCAGGAGATGCTTTTGAATTTTTAAACTTAGATGGATTGTTTGGGGAGGTTTTAGGGCATAACACAGAGGCAAATAGTTGAATGAAAAATTGAAAGGATAGAAACCCTTCTACTTTAGATAGCTTTGATAAGAGTCTTTGGAAATTCCCTCCTTATTAAAGATGAGACATCAGCTGTGTCCTGTAGGTAGAAAGTTGGGACATGGGAAGTGAAGAAAAAAGCTTTTAATGCATGCCCTTTAATATGTACGAAATGCATTGATATATTGCCCCAGATACTTTATAAGCAACTCTCTTAATAGGTGCCCAAAGGTGGTGTGTCCGAGATCTCAGCTGCTGACAAAGCCGAGGAATTTCGCAGGTAAGGAACCATGTGTGGGGGTGTGGGGGCATGAACCTTATGGTTATTTCTTTGGCAAGTTAAATGAGGCTGAGAGGGCCCTGATTCTTGGCACAATAAAATCCTTTAAGCCGCTTTGCTCTCTGTGCCTTTCTGTTCTAGGCAACAGGCTGACTTTGTGGACCTGAGCTTCCCAACGATTTCCAGTACGGGACCCAATGGCGCCATCATTCACTACGCGTAAGGCATGCGGAGGAGCACGCTGCCTGGCTTTGCTGCTGCTTCTGCACAGAAGCCTGAGCAGGGGAGAGACATTATTTTACCAGAGGCCCCAATGCCCACCTCTATGTGTCTGTTGAAACTGTTCTTATATGGGACATGAGGACTTGTTATCTCTTGTTTCCTCTAAATCTCCAAGTCTCTGCCTTTTGGGAGCCTTGACCTCAGGTGTATGGCATTGATCTTCTCCATGATATAGTCAAATGGGTTGTCCCCTCTTTCCTTTCTGAGGTCACAAAAGCTGTATTCATAGCTCTTGATCATGGTGATCAGAATATTTTAGTGTTTGTCTTTCCTGATAATGGTAGCCTTCTTGATGTATGAGTCCAAACATCTTGTGAGCTCCATCCATCACCTCCTTACTGAAAAACTTATCACTAGGTTATTGAGCATCCTCTTGTGATAAGGGAGGTAAGTAGCACCCTTTCTTTCCTCCCTGCGGGCTTGAAGCTTGGCACCCAGCCTATGGGGAATATCAGCAGATGATGTGCAAGATCCTGTGGACTCACAGCACAGAGCGTTCCCTGTTCTCTGAGATGGGAGGAGCACTGATGAGTTTGGGAAATGAAACTTGGCTTGGTCATTAGGCTCTAGCTTCAGATTTGTCCAGTCGAATGGCTTTGCCTTGTGTTGAGCATTTTGAGTTCTTTGCTTCATGTCTGTGATATACACAATCAGTGGAGGAATGCTTGGTCTGTCTCACTGGGCTGTATATAGGCAGAGATCCCTGCCCCCCCCCCATTTTAATAATTGCTTTTAGACCTTTTAGTCTTGGGGCAAATTTTGAAGCGGTGTGTGGGAGACAGTCACAGATGTGATTGTGCAGTTCTCTTACATTAATGCTTCTGTTCCAAAATTAAAATGTAAAAAGGACTTCAGTTTTTTTTTGTCTTATGTTTAATTCAGGTGATGAATTTCTTGGCTGGATACTATTCTAGAATTTTGCATATAATTAACACATGAAAAAATTTCAGATCAAGGAGGGGGAGAAGTCTGCTTCTGCTTTGGCATTTTTACCCTGTGGGCTGTGGGAAGCCTGTTGAGAAGCAGGGCGCTGGAGCTGGTTCCATATCTGATTGTCTTTCTCAGTCGTTTGGCTTGGGTGTGACCACTGATGCCCTTGGTGCTGAAGAGAGGAGGTGGTGCCTGGAAATGAAGGAGTCCTTCTCTCAGATGCAGGACAGAGACTTGGATTACTCCCTTTAGCATTTCCCAGTGCAGTGGTACTATCTGGAAATCAGATCACTCTTTAAAAATACTTCATGTTCATTTAAAAAAAGTGCTTTGGCATTAGAACATTGTGATCCACTCCTTTTCCCAGTTAAAATCCCTTTAGTTTTTCTCCCAAACTGAGACATTTACCTTCTGCCTGTCTGGTGGTGTGGGGAGCACAAGGGGAGGCCCCTGATGTGGAATCTGAGGCTGGGGCCTGGGACTCCCACACCCAGAGACAATGACTCCTGGCCGCTCCATTCCCAGTCTTCAGGACTATAGCATGGTCCTCTTGAATCTATTGATTATTATTTCTGTAGCTTTTATAATTATTACATGAATACCTGTTTTGTTCCAGATACAAATAGAGATAGATGTGAAGAAATACGTTCTTCTTCCTTCTCTTGAGCTCTTTATCCAGTTGTGGAGATAGATTGACTGGGTCTTTGAGTAGTTCTAGAAGATTAAATTATTTGGAATAATTGTGTGGGTAACTTTTAATTTTGATATAATTTCAGACTTACATAAGTTGTAAGAGTAGTATAAGGAACTCTTGTATGTCTTCTCCCAGATTCAGCAAATAAATTTGTGGAATAATTAATTTTTAATTAACTTTCTTAGGCCAGTCCCTGAGACGAATAGGACCTTGTCCCTAGATGAAGTATACCTGATTGACTCGGGAGCTCAGTACAAGTAAGTGAACTAGGGCTTGATTGGGGTTGGGTAAAAAAACTTGAATAGGGAGCAAGCCAGGCTCCAGCCAAGGGTGCTCAGCTGGGAATCTCACTCTGCTCCAGGCACTAATGGAATCATTCTCATGTCTTGTCCTTTTTTTCACCCCTGCTTGAACTTGTCCATTGGTGACTCTTCCCACAAAAGGCTGTTTGATAGAAATGTTTAGTTCTTGGCCGGAAGTTGTTAAATACTAAATAAATAACTGAAAGCAAGCTTTCAAAACCATTGGAAAGGCTTCTTCCATAGCTCATAAACTGCGTGCTAGCTCTCTGGACTTGCAGCAGCCCCAGGGCCTTACGAAGTGAAGGATTAATTTTAAATGAGTAAATGAGAAACTAGGGTTGCCCCTGAATTTCTGAATTTTCATCTTGATGTCTCGCAGCTTTCATACTCAGCCTCTAGAAAGTTTCTCAGAGAAGAACCCAAGATTTTGCTGGATCTGAATGTGGAACCCAGGAGAAGGAGCTGCAATAGGTGTTGTCTGCATTAAGAGAGCACAAGCCAGGCCTTTTAATGTTTCCCACTGCAGTTGGGACTGTGGCTGATGGAGAGCCTGAGTATTTTTTTTTTTTATTTTTAAAGATTTTATTTATTTTTTAGAGAGAGAAAGAGAATGAGAGCAAGATTGGAGGGAAGGGCAGAGGGAGAGGGAGTAGGAAAGAATCTCACTGACCTGCTGCTAAGTGCAGAGCCCTACGTGGGGCTTCGGATGCTTAACCGACTGAGCCACCCAGGTGTCCCTGGAGAGCCTGATTATTTGGTGGGGTCCGCCACATATGTGGAAATGACAGCCTAGCCTGGGGACACATTGGTTACCATTAATGATAATAGCTTAGAGCTCAGGGTGTTGAGATGGTTCAGTTTTAAATTTTAGTAGGATTGCAAAATTCCCATTTCTATGTTAGGGGTGTGAATTAGTCCACTCTAAGAGATGCCTTTGTGTATTTTTAGGGTCTTTGCTGTCCTGATGGGAGGAATTAGAGGTTGGCCCTGTTTTGATAGAAGCAGGCTCCTATTTGCTCCTATTTACTTTGTCCTCCTCCCCCTCATTTATAACCCCATGATAGTGTCTCCGATGAGACAGTCCTCACATTGTAGACCAAAAGTGCTTATGTCAGGGCCTGACGGAGTTCATTCTCACTACCTCCGACCATCCTAGCATTCATACTTTGTTTCATTTTATTTATTTATAAAAAGATTTATTAATTTGAGAGAGAGAGAGAAGACCACAAGCAGGAGGGGAGGAGCAGAGGGAGAGGGAGAGAGTGAATCTCAAGCAGACTCCACACTGAGCATGGAGCCCGATGTGGGGCTTGATCTCAACGACCCTGAGATCATGACCTGAGGTGAAACCAAGAGTCAGATGCCTGACTGCACCACCCAGGTGCCCCTGAGCAAAAGCTTATTTTTAGTGAACACTAATCTGTCCTTTCTTTTGGAAAGGGATGGGACGACAGACGTGACACGGACCATGCATTTTGGGACCCCTACAGCCTATGAGAAGGTAAGCTGGAGCAGAAAACGAGAGAGCCCTCCCTGCTTTCTTAAGAACGGCATTGCTTTTATGAAAAGCAATTGTATAATGAAGTAAAATTTGTCTGTGAGTTAGTAAAAACAGCTCATTACTCTGGAGCCTGGCTTATCTGCTTCGTGATGTCCATTTAATTAATTACTGGAGAAATTTTAAAAGCATTCCGTTTGCTAAGGTCAGAGCCACTCAGATTTCAGTTTACACAGCATCAGTGTTCTCTTGAGTCAGGAAATCTCTATGGAGATGGGAGTGGGGTAGTGAAACGTCTGCTTTTTACAAACTGTCTTGATTTGATTCTGAAAGCCACCTGCCTTCTTTTAAGTTCAGCATTTCCATCTATGGCTTACCTCAGGCACCCCCTGCAATGGTACACACTGCTTAGGTTGTGCTGTCTGGCGTGGAGGGGAGATGGCAGTGAGGTAGAGGGATGTGCACCAGGAGTCTGGAGGTTGGACTTCAGGTCTTCTCTGCTGTACACTGGCCCTGTGACTTGCCTAAAGCACTTAGACCACCTCCATAAAAATGGGGGTAAGAATACCTGCCTCCAGGGCTGGTTGTAAAGGTGCCATGACCCTGGTAAGTTCCTGCATCAGTCCCTACCAGGTGAATGTTGGTTGAGTCTCTTGAGTGAATCTGTTTTTCTGGGAGCTCCTATAGGAAGTTTATCCCAGGGGTAGAGTTTTATGCCAAGCTGCAGAGCAGATTGCATAGTTTTAGTCTTGTACCTCATCTGTTTGTAGACACGAGCACCTTAAAAGAATTTGACCTCGGTGCCACATACATTTGGCATGACTCTTTTGTGCAGGCTAAAGAGCTCGAGACCAGATTGAAGGGTGTGGGTTTATGCCTGGTTCTGTACCTTACTGGCAAGCCACTAACCTTCCAAGCAGCACTCTTCTTTTCCAGGCAGTAGGGCTAAGCTCTGAATATAACATTGGTAAGGGGCACAGATGCTGGAGCAAGACCACTTGGCTTCAAGGTCAGATGCTGCCAATTATGAGCTACACCACTGGCAGGCTAGTTCATCTGTGTCAAGTGAGGGTGACAACAGAATCGCCAGCATAGAGTGTGGGGTTTAGTGTTCAGTGCTTAGTACCATGCCTGGCACAGGGGACTAGCTCGGTAAATGTTAGCTGGTGTCATCAGGATTTTTTGTTACTTTTCCTCATCTTTCTCAGGCTCAAAGTGTATCAGAATGTTCTTTACAAGGGAAGGACCTGTGGGCTCATCTCTCTCACAGTTCTCTTTCAACTAAACTTAATTTCAAGATTTTCTAAAAAATCGGCCCCATGGCCCACCTTTTTTTTCCACCAGAGTTTTTCCTTTTCACTCTGATTTTCTCTGTGGTGTTGCTAAAAACCTTCAGAAGCAAGGTTTTCTGAACTGCCGGGAAACTACAGGACCGAAGCATCTTGTCCTCGTTCTGCAACATGCCCCCTGGGTTTTCTTTGGCAGGAATGCTTCACATATGTCCTCAAGGGCCACATAGCTGTGAGTGCAGCCGTTTTCCCGACTGGAACCAAAGGTAGGTGGTTCCTTCTGTCATATGGCAGGCTTTTTCTTGTTGAGGCACCAAACATGTCTAAATTTGAGTAGGAGAACATTTCCTTTCTTGTCATGTCAGGCCCAGCCAGGGCTAGTGTTGCATGGAGTCTCCTAGAACAACCACTGACTGAGCTCAGGGAACCTCCCAGGGAGCCAGGCTTTGGTTTGGGCCTGACGTCAGTGGTGTACCTCTCCTAACCACCTAAGGTGTTAGATGAGACATGGGTGGATCCCAGGAGAGAGCAGCCAGGGCTGAAGGCCTCCAGACCTGAGTGGAAGTTGATACAGCCTCCTATCTGTCCTGCCTCAGTGGACCATTGCCTCCTTTTGGGATCCTTGTCAGGATTTATTTTCCTGGGGACCTGACTTCACATATATACCAGTTGAGGACTGATGGCTGGGCATTGGATGGGGAGTGGACAAGCCCTGGGCCTTGGATCTGCTTAGATTGGGCCTGCATTCATCTCCCTTGGCACCTATTTCCTTGTAGTCTGTTTAGAGTCTCCTCTTTGTAATCCTGAAACCTCAGGATCCCAGAGCCAGGAAGGGGATGTCTGTATCATCAACACCCTGAGCTGCAGCAAGGTGTCCAGCCCCTTCACTGGCTTCCTGGACAAACAGTTCTCTAGCTTCAGACTGAGCTCCAGACTGGCTGGGGAGTGGCCGTCTTTGGGAGCTCTGATTGTTAATTCTTTCTTACGCTGGGTTGAAATCAGAGCCCTCCAGTAACTTTTACACGTTGGTTTCTGTTTCATTTTCTGGAGCCAAGCATAATAAATCTAATCTCTAAAGTGCTTTGCAAATTGAAAAGTACTGGACAAATATCATCAAGTGGTTCTTATGTGTCTTTCAGGACACCTTCTTGACTCGTTTGCCCGCTCAGCTTTATGGGATTCTGGCCTGGATTACCTGCACGGAACAGGACATGGTGTTGGGTCTTTTCTGAATGTTCACGAGGGTCCTTGTGGCATCAGTTATAAAACCTTTTCTGATGAGCCTTTGGAGGCAGGCATGATCGTCACTGATGGTAAGTGCCCCTCACATCCAGGGTGTGCACGGGTCTTCGAGCCTGTATGAGGCTCTCTGTTGTTTCTTATATTTTGATGATCTTAAAGTAAATTGGATATAATTTCCCCCTTTGTCACCTTGAATTTAACAAGACAACTTTTTATGATTATAAAAGTGGTAGGTGTTCATTCTAGAAAAGGTGAGACTGTGGGACAGTGTGTGGAAGATGAAAATCATTTGGAATCCAACTACCTAGGGGGAAACATTGTTTAATATTTTGATGTTATAGCTTTTGGTCTTTTATATATGTGTGTATCTTTTTTTTTCTAATCATTCCGATTCTACTGGATGACCTATTGTTTGTATTCTACTTTCTTACTTAATGTACTACTTTTCCCACATCATTACCAGATCTCTGCATAAATTTTAATGCCTGCATCGTTATGTCTCATGAATGTGCTCCAGTGATTTATTTGGTGAACCCTCTGTAATTGTATTCCCTACCCTGGCACCTGTTTTCAGGGACTTTGGAACCTTTCTGTTCTTCGAGTACCTATTGGGGGTAGCCTTATGGAGGAGGCATCTCTGGGCTCTTGCGGCTGGACTTGAGTGGGCTCTTGACCTGTTTCCCCTGCTCCTTCAGAGTGGAACTGTCATTCCAGGAGCAAGCCCTTCCCCTCTGTGTGCAAGTGTCCATCATGGGCTGCTTTTAATTTCTGGGTTTGATTTCTTTTAGAGCCGGGGTATTATGAAGATGGGGCTTTTGGAATTCGCATTGAAAATGTTGTCCTGGTGGTTCCTGTGAAGACCAAGGTAGGTGATTATTTATTTATTTATTTAAAAATTTTCTAATTTCTTAATGAGGCAGAATGAAGATGTTTGTCTTTGGAGCCACGAATGTGCCATTCTGGAGCCAAACTGGATCTTCCTTGCCCCGATATCAGGGAGTCCCTTAGAAATTACTCTCCTCTGCGAAACCAGAAAGAAAAACCTTAGTGAATTGGGACCCACAGCTGGAATTCATGGGCCCCAGGCAGGCCTCTGCCAGATGTGATTTGGAGCTCTGAGTTTACTGGAGGCTGCTTGTCATGATGCTTCCTCTACTGGGGGCAAGTGTTGGGGCTGAGAGAGGTGCTTGTTTAACGGCTCCTCCCAAACCCGGGGCCAGGGCTTGGAAACTGTATTTTCAACAAATGTCTCAGATGATTTTTATTGGGTAAAACTGAGGAACCCTCAGTTATCCATGGGTCAGGCCCCGCAGGCTGGTGATTAGACAGGTCTTTTGCCCTCCAGAAGACAGGTGCTTCACCTCCCCATCACTATTATCAAGAGGTTACAAGGCTTGAGGTGCTACGCTTTACCTAGAAGACCCATTTATTCCTGTTCTGTGGTGATGGTGGAAATGGAACAGTTGGCAAGAAGTGGCTTCCTAAGCCTGCAGGGATCTGCTCTCTGCTTCCACATTGAAGTCACTGTCCTTGTGAGTGGCCTCTCACCTCACTCAGTCCCACAGGCCTTGCCAGGAGCAGAGACCCAGCATGCTGGCAGGTGCCCTGGCCATTCCATGCTATGTAGCATGGACAGACCTGTTATCTGTCACCTGATGAGACCAGCTAGTCAAGGCAGGACACATGGTTAACTGTTAAATAAAAGTGATGTTGGGGACTTGTACTCCGATAGAGTCTTGAGAACCCAAACCAGTGATGCCCCTCATCCAGACTACCATGCTCTGCCCCTGCTGCTTCTCTATCACAGTGGACATTAGCTTGCAGACCTGCTGCTGACAGCCCCTCGGCTTTTCTGGTAGCTGCTGTTGGCATAGCGGAGTAGCTCGAGGACAGTGGCATCAACTGGGTTCATTGTACCTCCTGGGCCTATGAAAATGCTGACCGGCTCACCCCTTCTTGGTTTCCTAGTCACACCTGGCCCCAGGGCATGGGGGCGGTGATCATGTCTGGGGGGAATGACCTCATGGTGGTTCACTGTGGTAGAGGGGAGTAAAAACTTGTGTTTTCTTCCTTTTCCAACAGTATAACTTCAATAACCGGGGAAGCCTGACCTTTGAACCTTTAACTTTGGTTCCAATACAGACCAAAATGATAGATGTGGATTCTCTTACAGACAAAGAGGTAATGAGGGTGGCTTGGAGGAGACAGAGTGAGAGTGGGGGTGGAGAGCTTACCTCATATTCTCTAGTCTGTTCTCACTTTTTTAGAGGTGTGTGCCACCTGAGTCTGAAAATCCTGGGTCTCCTGAGGACTATAGGTGCTTGTCCTGTATTTATTTGTTGGCTCTCCAGGTAGAGATAGTCCTCCTTGCACCATTGTGGGGCTGCAAGTCTATGACTGGGACTGGTCCATGTTGCTTTCCTTGAGGCCCAGACCTGTAGATGTGCTGAAGTGCGTTTAGCAAACCATGGGCCACGCGTCTTCTCTCTGAAAAGCCGGATGGGTGGTAGGGCCTGTTGGCTATTGCATATGCCAGATTGTTTTCTCGTGTTGAATGAAACATTAAGGGAATGAAAAGCAAAATCTATTATCACATGCCCAGTTTTCACACAGAGAGAAGAGAGGTGGTGCCTACTATCTGGTCACTCCAGGCTGTGAAACTCTTTGTAAAGCTTGGAGCACAGTAGTGCCCACTATCAAGCCCAGAGGGTTGCAGGTCTTGAACCCCCCTTCACATCCTGTGGTGGGTGTCCAGGCCCCGGGACCCAGAGTAAGGCCTGAGGGATCAGGCAGGTGATGAAACTCAGAGTAGAGAAAAGGGTCAGAAACAGGGCAGGAACAGTCAGCACTGGACAGACAAACCGTTCCCAAGCCAGAAGCCAGGAGGACACAAGTTCCAGAGCAAGGCAGGTGACTGATGGGAGCCAAAGGCAGGACAAGCATGACAGGTTACTGTAGGAGTAAATTTTTGTTGCCCAGAAGAGCAACTGGCCTATCCTGGGGACCTTGAAGTGCCCCTTCAGGCACCTGGGCCTCATGCTTGGCACCAGAGCAAATGCCTCCAAGGCCTGAGGAGGCCTCGCTGTTGGACTGTAGAATGGGACTCTCCCAGCCAGAAGCCTCTTTTTCCCTTATTCAGCTCACAGATGGGTGACAGAAAAAGGCCATCTACTTCCTGCTTAGCATGGGCACCTCTGCTTAACTGTCATTGTCTTTGACCAGCCAGATGTCCCCACTCACAGCACTTAAACGAGGGGTACTGTTGTGGCTTTATTCAGCTTGTAGATGGTGCTGGACAGGAGACAGCTTGTCGGCAGCACAGGGTCCAGTGTGTCTGGCAGGAAGAGTTCCTTCAGCAATCCAGGGGCTTGTCTCGAGCCCCCCTAGGGGTGACTCAGGTGAAAGGGGACATGAACACATGAGTGGGCATGGAAGCCATCCTGCTTTGAATCCTTGGTTCACCGTAGGAGCCAATGTCTCTTTTCACGGGCTTGGGTACAGCTTCCAGGGTCTTAGCAAGGGACTTTCCTGCAATCCTGTAAAAAGTCACTCTCTTCTCAGCAGCCCATGGCAGTGGCTTCCTACCACATAACTCTAGGTCACACAGTCTTTGCTGTCCCTATAAAGTGCACTATCAGGAGGCATTCCTCCCAGTGATACTCTCCTTTGTCCCAGGAAATAGTGCATGGGGAGGGGTGAGCAAGGCCATTCTTCTTTGAGGGAGAGTTTTGTTAACCTAACTCAGTCCACCCCATGACATTGGACATAGACCAGTGGGCTCTATTGTCATCATTGGTTCATTACTACACTGTGCACGGCCAAGTCACTGAACTGTTCTTTCTACCAATTAGTTTTTATAGGGCAGATAGTATCTTCTTAGCCTTAGATCATAAGCAAGTTCCTACAAAGAGCAGTAGATGTATTTAACATATCAAGCAGAGTGCATTTGTTGTTTCTTTTAGCAAAAGAATCTTTTTCCATGTACCCCTTAATAAATCTGGGGCTTCATTCTCTTTGAAGGCACATTACTACCCACAACCAGATTCTTTCCATTTGGCTTTTATGATACTTGGTCATGCCCGTTACCATCTCCCAAACAGTCTTTTTGGTTTCTTTAGGGAAACTTTTTGGGTTGGGTTTGCATTCCCATTCTTTATCACCAGATGGCAGCTGAGGACTTTGGTCATGAACATGGGCGGCTGCAGACTTTCAAGGCCTTTGGGATGTTGGTCAGGCCCCACTGAGGATGTGGGTACAACTGAAAGGGTCTTAGGGGACTTTGACCTTGGCTTCAGGGTTGGCTGCCTTGGGCTGCAGGCTGTCTCGTAGCCCATTCTGACCCATAGCAGTCTGCTAGCTTTTGACACCCTGTCCTGCTCCCCAGCTCCCAGCAGGGGCTAGTAAATTCTTAATAGTGGGGAGTGGAGCCCTGGCTGGGTCAGAGCCAGCTGGCAGTACCACTGCATCTGTCTGCCCATCTTAGTCCCTGAGCTCATCCTTGGTACGTGGGCAAGACCGTAGTCCCTGATGTCCATCCTTTTGTAATACCACTGCCTTCCCACATGGTGTGTGGGTCATCACAACAGCAGCATAGATGATGATATTACTCTTGCCAGCCTCACTGCAGCTGAGTGTCTGGTCAGGCCCACTTCATGGACAGTGCAGAGAATAGGTGGTAGTCCTCTGGGTAGAACTTGCTTCACTCTAGCCTTCACACCCGCCCTGCCCCAAGGGGGAGACTTCACCCTTTTATGGCTACAGAACTTTCACCATCAGGTGCCGGGGATCAGCTCTGACCCAGGCACCAAGTCCTGTCAGACCTCCTTCATTCTTACCTCTTTTTAAAAAAATCTCTTGGGGTGGTGGGCACATTCAGCTGAGTTTCTGAAAGTTAAGCTCCCAGCCCCATCCTGTAGCACCACAGTCCTTGGTTCGCCAAAGGTTTGGGGTTCATCTAGATAGCCACACTCCCAAGACCCATAGGGGCTCAGCTGATCCTAGGTTATTCAGCTTTGTCAGTGGATACAAGTAGGAAACTCAGTGCATTGGGGGGACACCTTCAGGTGTGTCTCTTAGCAGGGCTCTTACTGGCCATCTCAGCGCTAGTTTTCAGTACTCTCTCCTCCACTGCCACCCTGAGATGGCGAAGGTATTTGGGAACAAGGCCACATAGGTGGGCGTAGAACCTACCAGATTGCCTGCCCCATCCATCTTACAATGTCCTGTGGTTGTTGCTTCTGGGTGGTCCTGTTGAGAATAATACCTGGTTCCAGGTTACTCTGACTCAGGGGAGCCCAACACCTTGCTCTCAGGTAAGTATGGTTCCTTCACATGCAGTAGACTGTTCTGGAAGCATTTTGCCGTAAGTGATATGGCCTTGTCCCATCGATTTCCAGAGAAATAGAGCACAAGGAAGTCACTCGTCCCTAAGCAGGGGGAGAAGGTTTTGTGTATCTTTGTCCTCAGCTTGTAATCTTGGCACTCGGGGCCTCCCTGTTTGCCCATGGAATCCTTGGGAGAGGTGTGAATACCACATTTGGCTTTCTCCCTTCTTGTAGTGTGATTGGCTCAACAACTACCACCTGACCTGCAGGGATGTGATCGGGAAGGAATTGCAGAAGCAGGGCCGCCAGGAAGCTCTCGAGTGGCTCATCAGGGAGACACAGCCCATCTCCAAACAGCATTAATGCCTCCCTGGTTTGGGTTTTTGTAAGATGCTCCAGGGAAGGGAAGAAACCTGGCAGATTCCTGACATCTGTCTCCTTTCCTCTCCTTCCTTTCTTCCCCTTTTTACTTTGAGATTCTAAGGAGAACTGAAAATCTTCTTATCCTCTTTGATATTTTCTTGCAAACACTCGATCTTTTATGATTTTTTTAATTATTGAGAACGAGCCAAGAATAAAATTGCTGCACTGGAAGGAGGGTCCCCCCAAAACTGAACACTTGACCCGGGGGGACGCCTCGAGCAGCCACAGTGAGTTCTCTGGCCCGTGATGGTGAAGCCCTGCGCGCTTGCTCTCTGATGGTTCCAGGTGCTAGTACATCATTCACAATCTCCTTGATTCATGGGACTGTATTTATGATCAGTGAATAAAATGTCAAAATGTACTCTGTCTCAGCCGTGTCTTTCCTCGCATCACTGTCCACCCTGCGTGTTAGACAAGCTCATTCCTAGGGCTGGTGGCCTTTGGGAGAGATGTTTTCTAGGTAGAAGGTACCCTCTGAGGGCAGATCCCTGGCCTCCCCACATATTGTCTGGCTTAACTGGAAAGCCTCCCTTTCTTTTCTCTAGAAAACCCAATATTTTGGTGAGTATGTCAAAAGTGAGTCTTCCGTGGTCCACCCGGTGTCACACATTGCAGGGTCTCCCCCGCACACCAAAGCCATCATATTTCCTTGCTTGTGCACAGTGTTCTGTGGTAAGTGCCTGCGACTCCCCATCCTTGGGCTCTCTCTTGACTTGCACACATGGGGCAAGCCCAGAGAGCTGCAGAGCTGATGTTCCATGACGGACCATCATAGTTGGGCACAGGAGAACAGACTTCTTCAGCCCTTGACTGGGATGTCTGAGGTGTGGTCTACACTGACTCGTGGGGTTGCCCAGTGGGATGGAGCCCCGCTGCCCACCACGGTAACTTGTTCAAGAACACCCTTTATTTTCTTCCTTTCCTTCTGTGTTTCTTTTCCTTTTCTCCCCACCGGTATTTCCTGGGGACATCCCCCCAATAAACTAATTACACACAAATCCTTGTGTCAGGGCCTGCTTTTTAAGGAAGCCAACCTAAGACATACCCTGGAGATACAGCCACTAATCTGGTATATGTTTTTTCCAACTTCTTTGTGCTAAGTATTCAGTTAACATGTAGAACAAGTATATGTGTATAAAAGAATACGTATGTGGAAACTAATACAACACTGTGTGTCAATTATCCTTGAATTTAAAAAAGTGACAGACTGCTTCCAGTCTGAATTTAACACTGAACATTAGAAATGGAAACCTCTTTGACTGAATTGATAGTGTTGTGTACATACAACCTAAATCTAGTTTTAATCTGTTAGGAAATTAAAGTTATGTTTGGTTTGATGGGTTAATTAGTAACTTCTGAAAGTACATCTTCTCTGCTGTCAAGATGAGATTATCAGTTCAAAATGCGGATTTAAGTTCTCTGAAACGGAGGGAAATTTTAAAAATATGTGAATATTTTACATTTTTGGATTTATGGTTTTAATATCTGAAAAATATTAAAATTAAATAACCTCCTTAATCATAAAAAAGAAAGAATATGTATGCATGCGCACACACACATCACATGTATAAACATTGGGTCGTGCTATACATACTACCAAATTTTTTTTTATTTGGCGGTTTATCCAATTATTTTTCTTTTTTTTTTTTTAAATTTTTTATTTATTTATGATAGTCACAGAGAGAGGGAGAGAGAGAGAGGCAGAGACATAGGCAGAGGGAGAAGCAGGCTCCATGCACCGGGAGCCCGACGTGGGATTCGATCCCAGGTCTCCAGGATCGCGCCCTGGGCCAAAGGCAGGCGCTAAACCGTTGCGCCACCCAGGGATCCCTATCCAATTATTTTTCTATATTGGTACACATAGATCTGATTATTTGTGATATTTCATTGTATGGCTAGCTCTTTTTTTTTTTTATTTTTATTTATTTATGATAGTCACACAGAGGAGAGAGAGAGAGAGAGGCAGAGACACAGGCAGAGGGAGAAGCAGGCTCCATGCACCGGGAGCCCGGGGTGGGATTCGATCCTGGGTCTCCAGGATCGCGCCCTGGGCCAAAGGCAGGCGCTAAACCGCTGCGCCACCCAGGGATCCCTGGCTAGCTCTTTTTAAAACTAATCTCATTAAATCTTAAACCATATCTTGGATTTGAATGGCTTTGAAAGATGAACAATATAAGCATGCTTCGGCCATCCACCAGAAGCATGGTTGGCAACGTCTGTTACTTTCTGCAGCTGGGGAAGCAGAAAATAGAGTGAGCTAATCTATTTTTACCATTCAGAACCAGGGTGTCAGCAGGGAAAGTTTCACTGATAACGATGAGCCTTAAATTGACAGAGTGCCTAAAAACACTTGCCAACATTTCCGTTGTCCTTCCTCTCTTCTTTTCTCTCAAGGATCGTTGATTCCACCTGCTATGTGGGAGGAAGCAAGATACATGGCTAGTTCTCAGGTTGTATTTGTGATGTGGACTCAAAATAACAGGATGCATTTTGATCCACCAAAGATCAATTCTTGAATATGTGTGTTTCACACTTGCTCCTCTTTCTGTGTCCCATAGGATTGGACTTAAAAGAAGGTTATCCTTAAATGATAGGATGTATTAATCATGTTTCTCCTCCATCATCCCTCTAAAAGTCAGAAGACCTCCCCTTTAGGACTCAGACCATCATCTCTTCTGATATCCTGAAGGTTTTCCTCTCTCAGGAAACGGGAGCTGTGAATTGCAGTTGATCTGGAGTTCAAGCAGACCATAACTCAAGTGTGACAGCAGCTCCACTGTTTGTTCAGCAGGCTGTTAAGCCTGTCACTTCCCAAGGCAGCCTTAGAGCAAAGTTTGATTTAATTGGCTCAAGCCCAAGAAGCAAAGGTTCCTGGTGCCAGGTTCCTGGAACTTCCTGCCTGGATCTGTGTGTCTTGGCATTAAGGCCAAGTGACAACACTAGGCAAGCTGATCCCAGAAAGATGGAGAATCGGAATAAAACCGCAAATGTGCAAGTGCTTAAAGGGAAGATGAGATAAACGTGAGTCAAAAGACTCTTCTTTACTTTTAAATAAATGATTAAAAAAAAAAGTTTGGGTGTAAAAGCAGGCAGTATGCTAAATTTATGGAATAATTCCAGGGAAGTTGATTTTTTTTTTCTTGTTCAGTTTATCCCTTGGTGAAGTTTTAATGTACGAGGTGGTGAGGATTCCAGGAGGGGTACAGACATGGGGCTTGTGCTGTGGACAGCCCTCAGGGGTTGACTTCCCTCTGGTAAAATAAATCCATCCATGTCATTTGTACTGTGTGAGGGGCCTGCCCACCACCCAGCCCTTTGTGCTTGTCCAGCCTGAGGACCCATCCTGGCAGCACGAAGACAGGAATGGGCAATTGTGTAAGGAGGCATGGTTGTGAGCCGGGAGGACGGTTTTGCCCTTGCTGTTTCCACACAGCTGGGGGATTTAGGCCAGCAAGAACATGAAGAGTCAGAAGCAATTTGTGACATTTTTCATGCAAAATAGATTGAATCTATTTCAATCTATTTTGCTCCTAGGGGAGATGGGGGGTGGGTGGTGGGAAGGTTGGGGGTGAGGGGTGAGGGGAGGGGCTTGGCATATAAAGCCAATACTGTGCTTGTTAGGTGTGAAAGTATTTGGAGTACAGAGTAGAGATTAAATGCACAGTATCTGTGTTTAAAAACAAAAATGCAGATTTTGGCAAGGTGGTGGCAGTCGTGTTGTAGTTTTTGGATTTCCCCAAATGACTCCATACAAATGGTGTTTTGCTGGGATAACAAAAATAAAACTAATGGATGAGGTCTACACCAGATGTAGGTGACAAGCATCCCCACAAACCCTTGCTGTGAGCATGTCAGCATCAGTGTAGGAGGAAGCCGAAGGTCTGCCAAGAGCCCCCAAATAACCATCAGGAAGTTGAAATCTCAGTGAGCCAATTCGAGAGTGGCCACCAAAACAGGGAGGGGGGAGGGTGTGTAGTGGTGGTGGTTTGCACACATCAGTAGGTGAGCAGGAGGGATTTGAGGTAAGGCCAGCAGGGCTGGAGCGGGCAGTGTCCCAGGAATGCCTAGGACAAAGTCCCACACTCAGAAGAAACTAGGGATAGGCTCCCAGAGAAAGCAGGTCTGGTGCAGAACAGACAAAGGAAAGAGGACAAGTGGGAACAGAGCCAGGATCTTGCAGAAAGTAAGTGCTGTGTCTTTTAACATATCACAAAGTCAACAGCAAAGGCCGCTGGCTCTAGAGCCCTGAATAAAACTATCCTAGTTCAAGTCTCTCTTCCAGAAGTTCAGAGAATTAATTTCACCTAAAAATGGGCTACAGAAAAAAAGATTGAGGTAAAGTGCTCTTATGAACTTAAAAATAATGTGCAGAATGACCTGCCTATGGTGAAATCGCATCATCAAGGCATGCCCATAAAAAAGTGAAAATGATAATGTTTCAAAAATATATCTTTGGTTTGAAAAATAACATGCCAGAACAACATAAGACAGAATTAGAAAAGATGGGAAATTGAGAACTCAAGAAAGAATGAGAAAAAGCAATCATTTTAAAAATGAAGGAAAAACCAGCAGGAAGACCGAAATGAATAAATGCAACAATGTTTCAAGATCAATAGAAGATGAATAAGAGGAAAACAAAAAATAAAACCAAAATGAATATAAAACCAAAATGAATAAAAGGGATTTAAGAGAAATTGACAGTTATAAAAGATAGACAAAAAATTTAATATTTATGTAATAGGTTTCTCTAAAGAAGAAAACTTAAAGCAAGGAAATAGAACAAAAATTAACTATAATTTTAGAAAATATTTCCAAGATTTAAAAAACTCAAAAAGTTTGAAATTACACATTGCAGAGGAATATCCCAAAACCGAATAAATAGGTCCAGAATGACCAACAGGACATATTGTAATAAAGCTCTCATAGTTTAAAGAAAAATAATAAATCCTTTAGTATTCAAACAAATGATCCAGTAACTTAACAGTAGAAAAAAAAAGTGCAATTGCCATCTAGAATTGTTCACAGCAACATTTTTGGTGATAAGTAACATGTTATGCTTACGGGGGGTGTTCATTATAATTCATTGAGCCCCACATTTGTATCCTGTGTTTTTTTGTGTCTGGTGTGAAGGAGGCAGGAGGTACCCGCCTGCACCTCACATGCCCTGTGATGAGGAAGGCTCACAGGAGAAGTATTAAAATGTGATTTTATTTTCATTTTGATACTTTTAAATTTTTAAAAAGACTTTATTATTTATTCATGAGAGACACACAGAGAGAGGCAGAGACATAGGCAGAGGGAGAAGCAGGCTCCCTGATGCCGGACTCCATCCCAGGACCCCAGGATCACATCCTAAGCCAA